GGGGGACGGAGGGGGAGGGAGAGAGAGATGGAAAGCGAGAAACAAGTTGAAGGATTTCAAGGTGCAGAAAAGGAAGAGATTCAAATAATTGAGGGTTCTGTGATTGAGGCTGGATAGCTGAAGAGTTTTGTGCATTTATTATGTGACGCTGGCAATAATGGTTCTCTGAATACAAAGAATGGGTGGTACCTTTAAAGGCTCTATTTATGTAATTTTGAGTTTCCCGTTATATCTTATTGTCGTATATTTTTATGCACTGGTTTTCATTCAAATCTGATGTGTTGGGCTGCGATACAGGGGAATTGAGATCACAGAAGCATTGCGACTACAGATGGAAGTTCAGAAGCGTCTGCATGAACAGCTTGAGGTATGATTTCTTGCTTTTGAAGTAAAAAGTACTTACAGTTTGATTGGTGGTCATTGCTTATGTTCAACAATAACTGTATCTGCCACATGAGGAGAATGTATGTCTGCTTGTGATGTTTTAGTTGGTTGTTTGTGGCCTTTCTGATCTTCCAATTGTGATAGACAGTTCTGAAAATAAGGAGAAGTGCAAGTCATAGTTTTTGCTTTTGTATGTTCTGTTTAATTTATGATGTAAGCAATTCCCTTAGGTTTCTCTTTCTCCTTGTTGAAAACTATTGAGATATAAGCAGTCAATCATGAGTGCCTCATTTTTGTTGTTTTTAAAAAAAGTAAATCTTGAGTTCCTCATAGTTCAGTACTGGGATACAAATCCTCTCTATCATAGGTAATATAATAGTGTTCTGATGCCCATTGATAATATGAATAGCCAGCTCATCCGGTCTATTATTTGATGGTCTTGTGGTAACTAATGATGCATGTGCCTAATTTATGATTGTTATGTGCACTTATGGTTGTCATGCCCTTTTGCAGATTCAAAGAAATCTGCAGCTGCGTATAGAAGAACAAGGGCGATACCTCCAGGAGATGTTTGAGAAGCAGTGCAAGTCAATTCCTGGCGTGGACTTGGCTAAAGGCTCATCATCCACTGCAGATGATGCCTTTGCACAATTGTCAGATGCCGTTCAAAGTTCCTCCTGCAAAAATGATCCTGGAGTGTCACAGGTTGATATTCCTAAAGAGGTTGATGAGAAGCAGAAAAAGCGGGAAAAAGAAGTTGGAGATCCTGAGACAAATAAAACCAGCACACCTGATTCACCACCTTCAAAGCGCTCTAAATTGGATGAATAAGCCTCCGTAGATCACAAAACATTTGGTAGGATAGTTATATTTTGATGCTTGGAACATCACAACCTTGAGTAGAACAAAGTTTGGCTCGCGAAGGAGATAAAAATACCATGGTGTTCTTTTCATGGAAATACTCCGATGATCCTAGGTGTATCCTCTCATTTGACATGGATCATAAAGAAATATCAACTTTTGATGTTAGATTGTCAATATGTGTCATTCTAGAGTTAACGTTGGAAGGAGAACGAGGAACTGTTGGTCCTCCTAATGTCTATTTCTTGTTCAGTAAGGTTTGAGGTGCCAAGATTCTTCCCCCCATCATTTGAAAATGTGTCTGGGTAATGAGTTGTCTGGTTACAGTGTATGTATCTGGAATGGAAGTAGTTCTTATTGCTTGGATTCTCACCAGTTGCATTATGTAGTCTTTGTTAAAGATGATGGTTTTATCATGTTGAAGCAGGCTTAGGAATTCCAGGAGTAGTGAGTAATTTTTTAAAAAATTGAAAAAGGGAATTTCGAAAAGATTGTATCCATTTCAAACCAACTTATCATATTACAACAAGAGTTTTAAATTCTATGACTGACACTGATCAAATAATTACATGATCAGGTCAAGTTAATTACATCTAAGTTTTTATGCTAAGCATTAACAGTTGTCTGGCGTAACTTAAATCCTTAAAATAAGTTGAATTTAACTAATATAAACTGACAATTTTAAAAAGAGCCGAAATTAGCCAACGAAACTTAAAAGGTAAGTTCCACAAAACTTAAAGGTAAGTTCTATAGAGTAGTGGTTAGACCGGTTATGTTGTATGGGGCTGAGTGTTGGCTAGTCAAGAATGCACATATTCAAAAGATGAAAGTAGCCGAAAGATGAAATATTGAGGATGTGCGGGTATCGCAAACATGTTATTCGTAACCTATAAAATATGGTAAATGACCCATTACAACCAAATATGCTCTACGGTGTATGTGCAGCTCGTTCAGATCATGATCTAGCACAAACACAAAAACAAGAGAATGACTTTACAAGTAAAATTACACTAATAGTGTAAAATATACTAATATTTAAATACAAATTACTAGTACTCCCTCTGTTTCAAATTATATGACACGTTTTCTTTATTAGTTTGTTTCAAAAAGAATGACACATTTTTACAATTGGAAATAATTCAACTTTAAAATCTCTATTTTACCTATTTTACCCTTAATGAGAAGTTTCTATAACCACACAAATGTTATGGCCCCACAAAGCTACCCCTCATGCTTTTAAGACCATAAGTTTTAAAAGTCTTCTTTCTTTTTTTTCTTCTTGTCAGGGTTCCGACTTTGGATACCTTTGTGTCAAAGCTATGTACAGCCTAACCATTAATCATACAATAATACTGCCATCTAATTACTACTCCGTATAAATAGAGAATAATTTTATGATCACTACTACCATCTTATTAGGACAAAAAAATATAGAGAAGAAAAAGAAATTTTTAGAAAATATGTCTATGAAGAGAATTAGCATGTAGAAGAAGCGAGCGTCCTACCTGTCCAAGTAACGTCTCTTCTAATCAAACCAATGACCCTTCAACTATCAGTTGGTGAGAAATCTGAACCTCCCACCAAAAAGTACACATTCTCCTATCATTTTTTCTCCTTATTATACCCTCTTCTACTCATTCCCTTTCATTGCTCATTCCCCCCATTTGCCTTAGTGGCATCATCTAACACAATGGCTGGTTCTCATTCTCGTAGTGAACTTCATGTTTTCCACACTGGAGATGATGTAATATTTTTATTTCTTCTTAATTCTCCCTTATATATTTTCTTTTGTTTGGTAACATGATTTAGAGTTTTTATATATAGCAGCAGCGACCTCAGCCAGCAGAAACCAGAGATCAGTCAGCAGCTTTGAAGAAGATATGCAAGATTTGTGGAGACGAGATTGGAGTGAAGGAAAACGGGGAGGTGTTTGTTGCTTGTAGCGAGTGTGGATTCCCAGTTTGCAGGCCATGTTATGAGTATGAGAGGAGTGAAGGCAATCAGTCTTGCCCACATTGTCATTCTCGCTATAAGCGTCATAAAGGTGATATAATGATAAAGCAATAACTTAGTACAAAATTAGTTCACTTATAAGGTAATTACATATAATTCAGTATGAGTAATACTAACTAACTTGTAATTATTGATTAAAATTCACTTTTAATAGTGTAGTGTATATATTTTGAATCCATAATATCCGATTAACTTTCATTGATAGTGCAAAATTTGTGTATACTGTCATCAATGGATATGAATTAAACTTGAATTGTTTGCTTTGATCTCTCTTTTGGACGCATTTTCCATCATCTAATTAATATGTGCATGCATGGCCATCAAAACCTGTTTCATATATATGATGCATTGATCTTGAAATTCTGCAATATGGTTTAGGTTGTCCTAGAGTTGCAGGTGATGATGAAGATGACTTTGATCATGATGATTTTGACCAAGAATTTCAGATCAAGAATCATCATACTTCTCCCAACCACCCCCACTCGGTTAGTTATAAATACTTAATTCATTTCAACAATCACCAACCTTATTCTTTTTTCTCTTTTCAAGTTGAACAAAAAAACACCATGTTCCTTTATGTCATCAAATAGCACTAGAGAAAACCTTGTCGATTATTACCATGTGGCATAGAGGTGCCAAAAATCGACCAATTAACTCGTCCAAGTTTAAACGAATTGAATTATTACCTTTTGAATTGATCCAATGAATTGAATTTGAAATGATCCATTATATTAAAATCAGGTCAAATAGTGTAACCCTATTGGTCAAAATGCAACCTTTAATAATTATGTAAATTTGGAAGAACTTGAAAATAGTAAAATGGATTAGCTTTCACGTTTTTCACTAATAAAAGCAAAACGGAAAAATTAGGGGACTTGAATTATGACCCATTATTTATTGATTTGAATCCGCTCAAATTTGACCTAATCCACCCATTAATATTTGCAACCTCTAAACTTCATGCAATATTAGAAATGGATTGAACCCCATGTGTTTGTATGTTGGCAGGAGAATGGAGACTATAATCAACAGCATCACCACGCAAATGGCGCTGCTTATAATCAGTCCGTTACTGGAAGCGGTAAAACTATCTATTCTTTTCCAAATAACAAGTAACTGTACGTTGCGCTTTAGTATACTCCTATTTAATGAAGCATGTCTTTTCAATGGGACTTAAATTACAGTGGTAGGGAAGGATTTGGAAGATGAACAAAAAGAAACTTATGGTGACGCAGAATGGAAGGAAAGAGTTGAGAAATGGAAGAACCGGCAAGAAAAGAGAGGTCTGGTAAGCAAATTGGGTGATGGTGGAAATGATCAAGCTGATGAAGATGATGACTATCTGTAAGTCTTTTCTTTTTTTTTCGCAAGTTCTACGTGTGTGATTAGAAAATCAAGAATGCGTTAAGTTTTTTTTTTTCTAATTTCACCCTTACTACTCCAAGTAGGCATATAATCATCAATTACTCAGTTAAGGAAGAGATAGAGTTAATTTAGTCAAGTATCCCTTATAATTGATGATAATAAATGGTTGTCGCCGAAACCTTATAGTTGAATTTTTTTATTGGTAATGAAGACATTACATTGTTAAAATTAGAATAGTTGAATGAATTTGAAGTCTTGCTCATTGCTGAAGTTGTATATGTAATATGACTAACAAATTGGGTCAAAATCTACAATGTTCCAACATGAAAGGAGTGTGTATGAATTGAAACAGATCAAGCATTAAGCATATAAAACTTGCAGAAGATTTCAATGTTCTAACCATTTCAATAATTTCCAAGCAGTTTGGCTGAAGCTCGGCAACCACTCTGGCGAAAAGTTCCACTTCCATCAAGCCTAATTAGTCCATATCGCATAGTCATTGTACTCAGGCTTGTAGTTCTTGGATTCTTCTTCCATTTCCGGATCTTAACACCAGCCTATGATGCTTATCCATTATGGATTATCTCTGTAATATGTGAAATATGGTTTGGTTTATCATGGATACTTGATCAGTTCCCCAAATGGTCACCCATAAACCGTGAAACTTACCTTGATCGATTGACATTGAGGTTTGAGCGTGAAGGTGAGCCGAATCGTTTAGCTCCAGTGGATGTGTTTGTGAGTACAGTTGATCCACTTAAGGAGCCTCCTATTATCACTGCAAACACAGTTCTGTCAATCTTGGCTGTTGATTACCCTGTTGAGAAGGTCAGCTGTTATGTATCAGATGATGGTGCCTCAATGCTGCTGTTTGATGCATTAGCAGAAACGGCGGAATTCGCAAGGAGATGGGTGCCATTTTGTAAGAAATATAACGTAGAGCCTCGAGCACCTGATTTCTACTTCAATGAAAAGATTGATTACTTGAAAGATAAAGTTCAGCCTACCTTCGTCAAGGACCGCAGAGCCATGAAGGTATCTATCTCTTAGTACTTCATTTGTCTCATTTTATATGACTGTATCGGAGTAGACGTGTTGTCTAAATAGTTAATTTGAATTACATCGTTAAATGGAATCGTGTCAAACATTATCCGACGTCCCATAATGGAAAGTGTCACATAAATTCGGATAGAAGGAGTATCACTTATCAGGGGTTTAAGTTTCTTTGGCTAAATCATATTTGCTGCAAATTGAAAAGTCATTATCTTGTGGCAGAGAGAATATGAAGAATTCAAGGTAAGAATTAATGCATTAGTGGCAAAGGCTCAGAAAAAACCAGAAGAAGGATGGGTAATGCAAGACGGAACTCCATGGCCTGGTAACAATACCAGAGACCATCCTGGTATGATTCAAGTTTATCTTGGTAGTGAAGGTGCACTTGACGTTGAAGGAAAAGAGCTACCCCGCCTTGTCTATGTTTCCCGTGAGAAACGACCAGGCTATCAACACAACAAGAAAGCTGGTGCCATGAATGCTTTGGTTAGTAATTCGTACTAGTATTAATTTCTGGCTAGCTTCCTTGACATTCTTTTAAGTCTTCTTCGTCGTGTTATATGTAATTGATTCTGTTTTTTCTAAATAGGTTCGAGTCTCTGCAGTGCTGACGAATGCACCATTTATGTTGAACTTGGATTGTGATCACTACCTTAACAACAGCAAGGCAGTTAGAGAAGCCATGTGCTTTTTAATGGACCCACAAATTGGAAAGAAGCTCTGTTATGTCCAATTTCCCCAGAGATTTGATGGTATTGATCGCCATGATCGATATGCCAACCGTAATGTTGTCTTCTTTGATGTAAGTTTAAACGCAGCAATGTGGTTAACAAAGGGTTTATTCTCAGTATTTAATGAGTTCTTTTTCTTCATGGCGACAGATCAACATGAAAGGCCTGGATGGCATTCAAGGGCCAGTGTATGTTGGAACAGGTTGTGTCTTCAACAGGCCGGCATTATACGGCTATGAT